AGAAGTGCTCGCACTGAGAAAAGAACAACATTTGAACTTCGGTGGCCTTGGCTTTCAGCCGGCCAATGTCTCGAACTTAGAATAGTAGAACAAGTGAGAGTGAGAGTGAGAGTAATAGCAGTAATCATATCTCCAAAGGGGAAATTAGGGAGGGGTTATATAGTAGCAAAAATCGAACATCAAAACAAAGAAACACAGTCAATCAAACATAATTAAGGAAAGAAGAGCATGCAGAATTGATTTAGAACCAAATTAGGAGAAAAATCAGGTAAATTTACATGCACGAAATGGGCCATAATTTAAATGCACAAAATTTTATCAAAAATGTATTTATAAAAAGTTATTAACAAATAATAAAATATTATTTATGTAGTAAAGTATTTAAAAATAATAGTTTAACATTATAAAAATATAAAAATACTATTTGGGCACAAATAATGTAATAAAAATGTAATTATGCATAACATATAGGCTATTATTACAAAATTATGTAAATAGCTTAAAATACAAATATAATTATATAAAATGAAGTAAAATATTATGAAATATATATATGTGGATGCAAATAATAAATTTGGATGATTAAATCATCACAAAATAATTTAAAGGGTTAATTAATACATATTCAAGTAATTTAAATGCAAGAAAACTAATTTTAAAGCTTTAAAAATTATAAAAAATTATAGAAAATACTTATATGACCCCAGTAAATTAGGTAATAATGCAAAAATAATATTTTAAAAGTATACATGATATTTATAAAATATGAGGGCAAAATTGGGTATCAACACCCATGAAGTATGGAGAATCCTTAGAACCTTGCTAATCAATTCTCCAAAAGTAAATACCTTTCCAAGTAACTTCAATTCATTTGTTATTATAGTGAACCTAGTCATCATCTCCTGAATAGGTTCAGAATCCTTCATAGAGAAGAGCTCATAATTTCTCATGAGTAACTCAATCTTTGATCTCTTCACTCGATTTTCTCCTTCATGAGCAGTTTGAAGTGCATCCCAGATCTCCTTTACATCAGAGCATGCATATATCCTGTTGTGCTCATCAGGACCAAGTCCACATATGAGGATTTTCTTGGCCTTTGTATTCTTTTCCATCATCCTGAAATCTGCTGCTACAAATTCAGAGGGGACTTTGGGAATAGTTTCATTTTGCCCATATTGTTTGGTTGGAGTTAGTGGTCCTTGAATAACTATTGTCCATAGTTCATAATCCTCAGCCGTTAGGAAATCCTCCATTCTTGCCTTCCACCAACTGTAGTATTTTCCGTTGAACAGAGGTAGTCTAGTAGTTGACTGCCATTCGTTAATTCCAGGTGGAGCACTCATTTTACTTCTAAGATCTCTCTAGGTGTTAACCACGTTTGAGAGAACCTACTATGATACCAATTATTAGTTTGAGTGCCTTCCTAAATTACTAAAGAACTTGGTTCTTTGCCTTACTCCTTACGCATAAATAAAATAAACAGTAAAAATAAAGACAACAATTTTTACGTGGAAAATCACCCAGCTCAAAGGTGCAAAAACCATGACCTATCACGTAGAATTTTAACTTCAACTTCACTGGAACAAATGAGCCAAACGTATTGATTACAAGACCTCTAAATCAATACCCCCACAATTTTTCTATTTCAACTATTTGATGAATTACAGGTTACTCTAACTTGCACACACAAATACTTACTCCAACTAACAGACTACGAATGACATCTTGATTACTACTCGATTTCCTAATACATATGAACTAACAGGCTCAAGAAGAACACTAAGACTAATGATCAACTTAAGTGTTGAAAATGTTCTTCCTCAGTTAACGTGCAAAATGATGATGTCCTCAGTCCATCAGGAAAGTATTTAACTTTCCAGTACTCCGAGATCTTTGGGAGTCCTATGCATAGTCAACTTCTCATTTGATAGGACTCCTAAAGCTCAAAGGATTCCACAAATCTTGTGACTCTTGTCTATCACTTATACGAGCATATCTTCTGGGACAACGACCCTTATCACATTAACAGCCTTTTTCAGCAATCTCGGACTATAGTAATTTTGTGCAAAAGTTACTGCCTTGTAAGAATTTTCAACAGCTACCTTGAGGACTTTGTTCTTAGCATACTTTAGCAGCCACCTTGAGAACCTGGTTCTTAGCACACGTTCACCACACACTTTGTTAATCATCAAAACGCCAATTCTCTACAGAAAGTAACAAGTATATGAATGTCAGGAAAGCACTAAAAGAAAGCGACAAAGGCTTGAAAGCAAGGAAAAAACTTGCATCTCTACTAGAAATTCGACAAAATATCGTTCAAAAATATCGACCAAAGTAGGTCGGTAATGGCCAATAACCATCCAAAATGCGACAATTAACGTGTGGTCGGTATTTTGAAGGTCGAAAGGGCATACCGACCAACTTTGGTCGGTCAATTAAATTCAAAAAAAATAAAAATTGCCAGCACCATCTGGGAATCGAACCGGGGTCTGTATTGTGGCAGGATACTATTCTACCACTAGACTATTGGTGCATTTTGTTTTAAGAATGTCTTTTATTTTATTTATACTCTTTAATTGTATTTTCGCACGAAAATAACCAACCAATGTCGGTCGGTTTTTTAAAAAATAAAATTACTGACCGAATTCGATCGGTTTTTTAAAATGACCGGCCGAACTAACCGACCTATTTCGGTCGGTTTTTTTAATATTAATTTTAATTTATTTTAAATGAAAAACCGACCAAAGTTGGTCGGTTTCTTGAAAAATAAATTTTGCGGGACTCAAAAATAGTTTCCCGCATTTTTGCGCTAAAGAAAACCGACCAAAGTTGGTCGGTTTCGTAAAAAAAATTAAAAAATAGAATATTTTGAAAAACCGATCGACTTTGGTCGGTTTTTTGGCCGGCGCGGTCGATTTTTACCGAACTTCTAGTAGTGTATATTCAACTCTAAAGAATGAATTTAACTTATTGTAGCGTAAATTTCTTTACACTGTTAATGTATTTTAATTTATTATAGTAAATTATTTGTTTTTAAAAAGAAATTGTTAATCTCACTTATAGGGAGCAGGTACTTATGTTTAAATGATTTGATGGTGCAAATATTATTACACGGTCAATATATAAAAATTAAACTCGTATTTATAATGACAAATACCGAATAACATGACATAGATTATATGGTGATTGGATTGGCGTAAAATCCCATATGCCAGTAAGTTTTTTTTACCAGGGTTGGGCGAGTATACGTCTATTTATAGCTGCGAACTCTTCCTTTGTCTTGGTTGAACTAATCGATCCTAAGAGTGCATATCTCGGATATATTTGTGCTTTTTCCACATATAAATCCGATCCAAAAGCATGCTTGTTTCATACATTAAGCTAGTCTAGTAATACTAATTGTGAAGGTCCAGGACCAATTACTCCGCTGAACAACCGGCATTACTATTAATGGCTCAAATTCTAATTCAGTTGGAGTAGCCACTCGGATGATTTATGCCAAAATTTGGTGCAAATACATATTTAGACTGAAAAAGAAAGAGTTCAATAATTTTAAAGAGGAAAATATGGACATATCGATTCTACAAGCCAAGTTTAACTTAATATTCACTCCTTATTATATATTAGTCGGTTAAAGCAATGTTATTTTTTATATGGAAAGAAATTTAATTTTAAACTTTTAATGACGTATTTTTACAGCCACATAAATATCATGTCACGTTTAATACTACAAACTATACCGAATCAAACTATACCATATAAAATAATTAGGATAGTGTAAAAAACAAAAGAAAAGAAACCCGCCCCTTTACTTACTGGGATACATACAAAAGAAGGGAGATTTACTTCAGTTTGTATACCAGGGACCGGGGTTGTAAATATACCAACAATACACATGCCATTGATGAGCATTTTGAAATAAGGCACTTAAAAGGGATCATTTTACTTCTCATGGTGGAAACTTCCATCTTAACACGAAACATCTCCATCTCGACACAAGAGAACCAGAAAAGCCCCACTATAAAGTGTTTGATTTGATGTATTTGTTTTTACGGAAAAGGGTCATTTGTGCCCCTGTACTCTCCAAAATTAGTTATTAGTATCCTCCGTTATACTTTCCAACATTATATATTCCTGACGTTATCTATTTTAATATCCTTACCCCCATCACTAACGGACCCTTTTAGAGGGACACGTGTCTTAATCTTAAATAACCTAATCACTTACCAGTTGGATCCCTGACCCGTTTGGCCCCGACTCGCTAACCCCTTCATATCCCCTAGACCTGTATATACATTAAAACAAAAGGGTTAGAACCCCATTTCACTCTAACCTTACTTGCCTAAAATCAGGCGACTCTCACTCTTACCGCCGATTAAAATCTGCCGATTTTCATGGTCTAAAGGTAAACTAATTCTTCTACCATAGTAAAATCTTAGGCTTAAGATTTTTTCAGTTGATTAAAACTTTATTTTTTCATGTTTGGTTTCAGTGACTAAAATATCTAGGGTTTAGCAGATTTTGTTATTTAGGTTGGAGTTTCGTGTCTGGGTCCTATTTTTATATGATTTTTACTGCAAAGTCTAACATTTTAAGCAGAATGTGGGGTTTTAAACATGGCTTTAACTTTATGGATTATTGTATTTGCATATACATGTGATGGTGGTCCCGAATGTATACTATAATAGTTCATTTTGTCTTAAAGGCGTTAACTTTATTAGTTGTTATATTGCATGTGGTAATATTGTCATAAAGGTTGATTTGGTAGTCCGAGTTATCTTTATGTGCTTTGTCGTTTAGGATTTTGAACCATGTTCTGTCCCTTTGTCTAGGGATGTTACTTCACGATTTTTTATTAGTTTATTTGAATGTTGCTTTACTCTTTTTTTATTAGTTTCTTTTCAGCTGTATTTTATAATCTCGATTAGTTAAGTTGTTGTTTAACTTATTTTATGGTTTAACTTCTAATTGCTTAATATGTCAATTGATTACAGATTACTATGGTTAATTTGGACTTGATATTTAACTATGGTGGGGAATGGACTAGAGAGCCACAAGTCAAATACACAAAGAAGCTGTTACACATCTGGGAAGGTTATGACTCTGACCATCTATCCTTTATAGATATAGTTAATGAGTTTTGCACTAAGTTATGTTTTGGTGGGGTTCAACAACTTATTGTATCTGCTCATTCTGGTAGATACTATAAAATTGATGGGGATAGTGGTATTAAGAAACTGTTGGGAATGGTTTGTAGTGATTACAATGTTGTTGATATATTTGTTGTAGAGGATTGTGAGTTGGCAGTGAATGTACCTGATATTTTACATTATGGTGAGGATGAACTTGATGATGTTGCACTTGACCATGAGGCTGCAACTGATTGTAGCTCAACAGATGGTGAGTTTGATAATGAAGCTGAATCTGATTCTTCAGATAATGATTCTGAAGAATTAGAATTTATTTCAACTCAGAGGAGTATGAGTATAATTGAGCAGTTGCTGGATTACAAAGAACTAGATAAAAATATGAGCTTTAAGGATATTTCTGAAGCTAGGAAGTGTCTGAAACTGTATGCTATGGCAAATAAGAAAGAGATAGTGCTTAAGAAAAGTGATACAAGAAGGCTTAGGTATAAGTGTCAAGTAGGTTGTCCTTTTGTTTGCCTAATTTCTAAGGATGGGGACTGTCCACGGGTTAGAGTGAAGACACTAAATCCAAATCATAACTGTTTTATTGCTTATGATAATAGTACTATTGACTACTTCACTATTGCATATTATTTTAAGAGAAAGTTGCAAGACAATCCAAAATATAAAGTGAAGGAGATGAGGGCTGATTTGAGAGTTGCATTTGAGTTTAATGCAAGCCATGGTAAATGCAAGAGAGCAAAAACACTTATTTTGAATAAGCTACATGGAAGCTTTAAAGATGAGTACAACAAGCTAGAGGGCTATGTTAATGAATTAAAGATTAGTAACCCTGGAAGTGATATAATAATTAATTTGTTAAAAGATGCTCTTCTTGAAGGTAAGAGGAAGTTCTTAAGAATGTATATTTGCTTTCATGCTATGAAAATGGGTTTTAAGGAAGGTATGAGACCTTTCATTGGACCGGATGGGGCATTTCTGAAGGGAATAGCTAAGGGTCAGCTTTTGGTTGCTGTTGGTGTTGACTCAATGAATCATTTCTACCCTATAGCTTGGGCTATAGGGGACAAAAAAACAAAGAGAACTTGGGACTGGTTTTTGGAAATGCTAAAGATGTCACTGGAGCTCAACATGGGAGAAGGATACACTTTCATTTCAGATATGCAAAAGGTAGTGTTTATGTCCATGTTCTTTTATAGTTATTTTATTTTCTTTAAACTTGTGACTGATTCTTTAAACTAATATTGTATTTATTATGATTTGTAGGGGTTGGTTGAGGCAATGAAAACTATTTTACCTGATGCTAATCATAGGTATTGTGTCAGATACATTGAGGCTAATTGGTGTAAAAGATGGAGATCTGGGAAAATGAAAAAGCTGTTGTGGTGGAGTGCATGGTGCACATATGAGGAGGATTTTGATGATCAATTGAAGAAGATAGGGCATATGGATGAAAATGCAGTGAAGGATTTGCTGCATTACCCTCCCTAGTCATGGCGTAGAGCATTTTTTGACACTGTATGCAAGAATATGGCTGTGGATAACAACTTTATAGAATCATTCAATGCATGGATCTTAGATGCAAGGTACAAACCTATAATTAAGATGCTAGAGGACATTAGGGTGAAGGTGATGGAAATATTGAGAGAACATAAGGACAAAGTGAAGTCATGGACTACTGACTTTAGTCCTTATGCCATGAAACTTTATGAAGGTTATTTGAGGATTGCTCATAAATGCAAGGTTCACTTTAATGGTGATTGGGGCTATGAAATATCTTAAGGGCCTAATAAACATACAGTAAACATGATTTTGAAGCAGTGCAGTTGTAGGGTTTGGCAACTGTTTGGAATACCATGTCCTCATGCTATTAGGGCATTTGTGTACAAAGGTCTTGATCCTTTGGAGGGAATGCATTGGTGGTATAGAAAAGAGGCAACGTTAAAGACATATTCACATAAGATACTGCCTGTTAGAGGAGAAAAATTCTGGAAGGCAATCCCTGCAAATGCAATGGAACCACCACAGATAGTGAAGTTAACTGGCAGACCTAAGGTGAAGAGAACAAGGCAAAAAGATGAAGCAATTAAGAGACAAAGTGAATGGTCTATGTCAAGGAAGGGGAGGGTTATGAATTGCAACAACTGTGGAGAGCCAAACCACAACTCACGATGGTGTAAGAAGGTAATTGTTACTATAATTAGTTAATTAGTTTTTAACAAGTGATATCTACATTATTAACAATGTCTCATTTATTAATGACAGCCATCTAATGGAACTCTACCACAGAAAAGGAAGACAACTGAAAACTATGAAGATATTGATGAAGACATACTTTTGTCAGGGCCTGAATAATCTCAAGCAAGTGTAGGCTCCAGCAATCCGTTTGTGTTCATTCCTATAATAGTTTTTTCTCACCTAAAGAGGCTCCAGAGAGCTGTTAGTTCTACATGTTCTCTGCCAGTTATCCAAGATGAGGAAGACCCTTCTTTAAGGCCAAAAGTTATATCGGAGATGAGGACAAGGCTTCAAATGAGACAGGAACCCAACATTATAGATGGAACAAGAGTCATCAGCTTAAGGGGTGATTCAACTAGTGTGAGTCAGCCCTCAATTCTGTCATACGCACCTAGAGGACTCACATGGAAGGGGAAAGAAGATTTAACTACTAACAAACTGAAGATGTAGGTGTAGGAGAAGATTGGGAAGCTTAAGGCAAGAAGGGGGAAGTGATACATTGCTGGATAATATGTTCTTGAAGTTATTGTATCTTGTCTAAACAAATTGGTTTGGTACTGTAATTTATGACTTCTAACAGTACATTTAACTCTAGTTTTAAATGCTTTGTTGGTACTGACAGTTGGATGCCATAGTATGACCTAGGTGGTAACTTATTTTGAGGTTATAATATGGCATCCGTGTATCAATTTAACTGTATATTGACAGTTAACTTTTGCTACTAATGTTAATGGTAATTTAGACGCTTTCAATTTGCTATTTCAGTTTCTTTCCTTATTGCAACTTATATTATTGGTAGTGTAGTTTTATTTGAATAAGTAGAAGTTCATTTATGTAGTTTGAGTAGCAATTAACATGTGTGACTCATTTCTATTTCGGAACAAGTTCATGAAGCTCAAATCATATTAACCAACAAAAATAGGTGAACACAAAAAGCAATTAACATATACAATCCGGAAAGTAAAAATCCAATTAGCCAACAAAAAGGTACACAAGTCACTACTGCCACTTAAGTTAATCATACAAATAACTTAACAAAATAAAAACTAGATTTCACCGACTACTACTAATAACTATTTATCATACAAGCTGCAATTAAGCCAGCAAATTGGACCCAAGATATTAGAAAGATCTTCAACTTCAAGACTTTGGCTTCCAATTTCCTTGAATTGGTCATTTTCCCGCGAATTGTAGCCGCCATTTCTTCAATTTTTTCCTTCAACATCATTTATTGCCTCTAATGCTTCCAATTTTTCCTTCAATTTCAGCCTTTCAATCTTGACAGTCTCCAATTTTGCTTTCAACTTACAAATAATTATTATAGCTTTGTCTGGTAACACTTCATTAGCCCATTCAAAATAACCACACGAATTTTTCTGAAAAACAAAATCATACACCATGTAATAAGTGAAATTTCAGAAAATAAAAATCATAAAATTATCATAAAACCATGAAAACCATAGAATATAAGATATTAACCTCAGATTTCGGACATTTGTAGAATCTCCTACCAGCGTTCCAATGAGTGTAAGCCATAAGGTAGAGTGCAGTTAATCCACATTTGCATGTCCTACTTGACACACATTCTTGAGACGATGAACTACCTTCTGACATTGTAACTCCCTATTCTTGAAAATTATACACAAAATAATAAAGAAAATAAAGATGATGAGAGAAAATAGAAGAGAATCGCTTCAGATGGGGAATAACCCTAACTTTTGAGAGGAATAAACGATTACATCCATTAAGGGATATGAAGGGGTTAGCGGGTCGGGGCCAAACGAGTCAGGGATCCAACTGGTAAGTGGTTAGGTTGTTTAAGATTAAGACATGTGTCCCTCTAAAAGGGTCTGTTAGTGATGGGGGTAAGGATACTAAAATAGATAACGTCAAGGATAAATAATGTTGGAAAGTATAACGGAGGGTACTAATAACTAATTTTTGAGAGTACAGGGGCACAAATGACCCTTTTCCATTGTTTTTTGTCTCTTTCTCTTCCTTTTCGTCTACTCTATCTCTATTTTATGTGTACACAAAGTACTTTGTTCTCTCACAAATTTACTTACATAAAAAGAAATATATATGAAGACCTTTGCAACTGTTGATGCATAGTTCTTGTCAAGTTTGAGTAGGTAAATATAAATTTGGAATTGCACTAGTCACTCTAGCCATTATATATGGGGGTTTGCTTCTTAACAAATCCATGAATCTTTTAACTCATTTGTCCCTTCCAAATCGAATCGTGTATTCAATACCGGAAGAAATCATTTTTATCTAATAGTGGCTAACTTTCTCTTACCATCCCCGAACTTTTTTCCTATATATAGCTCTGTTTGTGAGTCTTAAAAATATTCCAATCTTCTAAATATATACCAATATATATGGGGAAACCTAGCTAGTATGAGAAAGGAAAATTAGAGGTTTATTTTGGGGCACTTTTAGAAGTTGCTAAAGGAACTAATTTAACTCCCTTAGCCTTCTCTATGAGAAGCTTATTGATATCTAGTGAATTTTAGAAATTCTGCGAGTGTGTGTGCACGCAGATTAATGAATTGAGAGAGAAAATTTAAGCCATTAAATGTAAGTAGTTATGTTATATATACCGATATTATAAAGATTTTTAATATTTTTGGAATTTTAGCATGTAATAGTAGGTTAATACTATTTTTATCATGATTTAAATTGTATACATTGATAATGTAATTTTTTTCTACAATCATGTATTGTTTAAGTTGCAATTGAAGATTAGTTACCACTTAAATTAATGCTTATCATGGGTTTTATATGTAATTGACTTGTATGTGACCTTATTGTGTGAATATTTTTCTATTATCAGTGGATAAAACTTAAACTTAAGTAACTAACTGGTCAATGCATTATATTTTATGTGGAGTCTTTGACCGTGTACAAGATTAAGAAAGAAGGGACGATTTTTGAAGCTTGTGACTAAATAAGTCATCACAATTTCGTAGCTATAAAGTTTGTCATTCAAAGTAAAATAAAAAGTTTAAAGTTAAATTATTTTAAATAAAAAAATAAATAATTTTAGAGATCTTCCCTTTAAGTTTAGTTTCGTAACCCCAACCTCCCTTTTGAAGTAAGAAGAGTATAACACTTCAATTAATCCGTAAACATCTTGCTCTAAAAGTGGTATGCTTTGCTTACGCTGGTCACTGAACCAAGAGCACTTAAACTAGTTGCTAAGTATTTTCTGATCGTGTCATATTGAATTTTGTTTTTGTTTTTATACTTTTTTTGGTGCAAGTATTCCCACTACTTTTAATCAAGCATAATTTATTGTGTCTGCATAATGGGTGCACATATTCAATGTCATCATACCTGGCAGGATTTAAAATGGTGAATTTTATGGAATTCATTGCTGAAAGAGAATTGAAAATGGTAGGAAAAGAACATTTTATTATTGCAGAAAAAGCAAGTTATGCTGTTAGGGGACCAAAAACTATTCTGATTTTGGTGTTGATGGATCCCCACTAAATACAAATAGAACATATTCATTCTAAAATGCTTTCACTTTGGGTTGGAAACTGCTTGGCACCAGTAGTGAATAAGCTTTTCTTGTAAAGAGTGATGAGATTTGATTCTTTTTCCTTTACATCTTTATTGGATGGTTGTGATGTATGGTTTCATAATGTATCATATTGTATTATATTGTATTGTATTATACTGTATTGTATCGTTTTAATATATACAATGTTTGGATATATTATATTATTTGTCATCATTTCATTATGTCATGCACCAATAATATGAAGAAACTTGCAATATTATAAAGAAAAAGTAAGCTATAAAGTAGAATTATTATATAAAAATGTAGGTCAAATGATAAAATAGGATTATTTAATAATAATGAAGGGCAAGATTAGAGGAAAAAATAAGGTAATGACGCGACCATGCCAAATCGGTCGTTCCGACACTTTTTGTCGTTACGTAACGACAGATTTAACGATATCATACAATAAAATTTAAGTAACAATAAAAATAAATATTATATTTAAATTAACAACACAATACAATACGATAGGTAACAAATATCCAAACAAGTTGTTAATCATTTGGAATCAAACCCACTGATCCGACTAATTCGAATTGCCTACGGAAGTTTCAGCAACCAAAAGAGACTTTTTCCAATGCATACATGACATGGATCAATTCGTGTCTAATACCCATTTAACATGTTTTCGCGCTCATTATAGATTGTTCAAGTATGTTTAATTAACTCCAATTTGTCGCAA